TCCACTCACCTCAGCCTCCCAAAGGCGCGGGATTACAGGCTGAGCCACCGAGCCTATCTGTGTTTTATTTTAAAATGAAGAATTTTTAAAAGTAAAAGTGTGTACAACCAATTACAAAATTTGCTATTCTCTTTTAAAAATTTGAATTATTATTAAATATACAGGCCAGGCGCAGTGGCTTGCGCCTATAATCCCAGCACTTTGTGAGGCCAAGGTGGGTAGATTGCTTGAGCCCAGGAGTTCGAGGCCAGTCTGGGCAATACAGCCAAACCTCACCTCTACCAAAAATCAAAAAATTAGCTGGGCATGGTGGCAGGTGCCTGTGGTCCCAACTACTAGGGAGACTGAGGTGGGAAGATTGACTGAGCACAGAAGGCCCAGAAGGCTGCGGATGGTGTGAGGATGGCGTGAGCCGTGATCATCATGATAATGTCTGAGCACGCCAGCCTAGGCAACGAAGTAAGACCTCCACTCAAAAAAGTAAATAAATAAATAAAATATACAATTAACTTTTCCCTCTGATGTTATGTAGAAATTAAAATACTTACTCCACAGTATTCAAGCATGTGAATAATTTCTTCTTCATACACTGCCTGGGTATAATATTGCTTTTCCAGCTCCCGCCAATTAACTGATTTACTCAATACACCCTGAAATAATAAACTGCATTAAGATCAAATTGCATGACGTGGTATTTTGCTCAATACTTTTATGATCTACTGTGTGGAATAGTTGTTAATAACATAGTAGGTTTGAGACTGTCTATCTGCAGCCTGCTTGCAAGGTCGGTCCTTGACTAGGCAACTGACCAGTGAACAAGTCTTGACACTGATCTAAAACTTCCCTAGATGACAAGAGCGGTCACTGTCCACGCTGTTTTTACAAGCAGTGTTCTTTCTGCCGAACCCTGGCTTTCCTCCTGAAGTTTTGGGACACGCCAGGCAGAGGGTGTCTCAGTCACTGATCCTGGACAAAAGCTGGGACCGCCAGGCTCGAGGAGCGTCACTGAGGGATGGCACTTGCACCGCCTGTCACAACATGTCCCATTGGAGGACGTCAGCGTGACTGACACCCGCGGGAAGTACGCCCAGAGCCTGCCTCTGTCTCCTCTGGCCCTCGCCCCCTGGGCTTCTCCTTGTGCTGCATCCTCATGCAGTCATCAAGCCTCAGCCATCTATGTGTATGACTATATGCTGTGTTCTGTGATTCCTTTTAGTGAATCATCAAACCTGTGGGTGGTTTTGGGGAACCCCAAAACAATTGCCTTTAATCAGATATAGCTGCCTCAATATTATCTGCAATTGAATTACCGTGGTGAAGACCCCAGACGCTGTGGACCAAGACAGACATGGAATCAATGGCATGGGCTTGGGCCAGTTGGACGCCGCCAAGGAAGCCATCTGTAATATAACAGCACAGTTAGGTTAGAGAGCTTTTATTGGAGGTTTCTAGTCGTTAAGATGCAAAATATTTAATATTAAGAAGTATTTTGTGTAGTAAGTAGTCCGGTCAAGTAAGACATAAACACAAAGTCTGTAAACGAGTGAGAATGTGTAACGACCCTGTCAAACTGCCAAAATCATAAATTCATCGAAGACTGACAATTGCCCCTGAAAGCAATAAAGTATAACAGAAAACTCCAGAAGGCCTCCAGGCCCTTCCCTGCATGCTTTCCACTTGTAGATCAAGAGCAAGCACATGAGGTGTGGGTGCCAGCTGGGCTGCGCACGCGACACTCAGAGACTGGCTCAAACCGCAAAGCCACCACGGTCAAGCAAGGGCTTGGTGAGTCATGAAGCAGATTACACTACGGGCATGAAATAGCGGGAGTGTTCAGAGAAGGGAAAGGTTGCTTTGGCTGGAGGAATCAGAGGCAGGCTTCATGGAATGGCTGCATCTCCTGGGGAGTGAGAGACAGAGTCCTGTCTTCCATGTAAAGATAGTGGTGGGATCCAGGCAAGAGAGTACATGCAGGGTCTCTAAGGGAAGCGGCCCATGCGCTCCTGGCTGGCTGTCAACAGGCTGGGGTGGCCGGTGTGCTGGGGGAGAAAGGTAGGACTGAGCAGACCAGTAGGACCAGACTGGAGGTCCCTTTGTTCAGCAGATGATGAGGAATTAACACGGAGGTCTGAATGGAGGAGCAGCACGGCCCAAGCAGTGACTCGGGGACGCTGCCAGGACAGTAGCTTCTAGGACTGGGCAGAGAAGGCGAGGCCTGGCAGGAAGTGCCCAGGCGGAGTCGTGCGGCCTTGGCCCCGGTCGCAACGGGGAAACAGCAGGTCATCTTCCACCCTCGGCTTTGCTATTTGCTCAGTGTTTTCAACTTGGTTTTATAACTCTGATGACCCAGAGAAAACCTCATTAGTTGCTATTTTTTTTTTTGAGTTGGAATCTCACTCTGTCACCCAGGCTGTGCAGTGACATGCTCCCAGCCACCACAGCCTCGATCTGCTGGGCTCAGGAGATCCTTCTGCCTCAGTCTTCCAAGTAGCTGGAACCACAGGCATGCGCTACCACACTTGGCTTATTTTTCGAATTATTGTAGCAATAAGGTCTTGCTAAGTCGCCCAGGCTGCCTCGAACCCCTGGGCTCAGGCCATCCTCTCGCCTCAGCCTCCCAAAGCGCTGGGATGACAGGTTTGAGTCACCGCGCCTGGCTCAGTTGCTGCTTTTAACCAAGTTCTGAGTGACGAGTCCGTGCCAGGCAGCGAGCCCAAGCATGGCTCGGGCCCTGACGCACCCACCGCTTCACGGAGAAAGTCGACTGGGGCCGAGGGCCGCACAGCAGGGAGAGCACAACGGAGAGGAAGCGCAGCCAGGGCGAGGCTGGGGTAGAGAGCGTCCCCAGGAGCGAGCCTCCCTGAACCCGAGGTGACACTGAGGTGCGGCAGGAGAGGGAAGCAAGGGACCGCTGGAGCCAGCAGAAGAGAGTGGAGGTCGGGTTTAGAAAGGCGCTCTAGCTACGGGGGGGGAAGAAAAGCAGTCGAGACAGACGAACGAGAAAGAGCAGAGACAGACAACGAGGCATCCACTCCAGGAGCGAGACAGGCTGGCGGTGCTGGGCATGGAGGCACAATGCCCAAGAAAAGCGCTCTCCAGCTCAGCTGCCTTGGCCAACTGACAGCAAAGCCAGGCATTCAGACTTGAGATCTGAGGAGTTCAACTGGGCAACAGACTTTTGTTTTTGAGTTGGAGTCTCACTCTGTCACCCAGACTGGAGTGCAGTAGCCGCTCCCGGCCTCCGCAGCCTCGACCTGCTGGGCTCCAGCGATCCTTCCACCTCAGCCTTCCGAGTA